GACAATTACTTTCATTTATAAATCGTTGTCACACATAAGAAAGACCAGGTATATTTTCATTAGTTCCATAAGCTATGAATATTTCTTTTAAACATAAAATCATATCATTTTTCTTATCACTTTTTATTCCACTAAATATTTTTTTTTTATTTCTTGTGGCATTTCTGGTATATATAAATATTGTAGTTGCTTTTGTGTATTAGCTTTAGAAATATCTAGTATTATATTCGAAAAATATTTCCTTTCTTCTAAAAGATTATTATATTTTTGTTCTAATTTCAAATATTTTTCTTTTTCTTCTGATAATTCATTTTCTAATTCCTTAATATTAATTTCTTGATTTGCTATTACTATTTTTTGTAAATTTATTGGAGTTTTTGGGACTAAAGATACTTTTTCTATACTTCTATCATTCTTAAGCCTTTGATTTTCATTTAAGATGAATTCTATATGGTCATTTATGCCAGCAAACATTATAGTTAAACAGTTTAGGGTATGAATCATTGAAGAAGTATTACTTTTAGTAACCCATAAATTATCTAATAAAGTAGTTTGGTGATACGTTAAAGGGGTTCTTATTGTACTTTATGTCTAAATTATAAATTTGTCCCTTGCCTACTTGGTAAGGAAATGTTTTCATAAGTAACCATATTAGTTTGCTCCATAACCTGCAAAAAAAAAAATGATTAATATAAATTATTTATCAATTTCTAACTAGATTAATCTAATTTATTGTAGATTACATTGCTGATAAAACATTATCTCTACCCCATCTATCAACCGCTTTTATTAATCCTTCCATGCTTTCAAAATTTGAATTATATTCAATTTCTTTGTCTCTTATGCTATAAATAGTATCATTAGATTCATTTGAAGATATACTAACTACATCTTCTTCTAATCCTTGAATTAATAAACTTCTTGCTCTATTATAATTTCTTTTATCACAATTATTTGCAAAATATTTTGGAGATCCACAAATGTAACAATTACATTTCCTATTGCTTGGTTTTTTAACGTTTTCATCTTTCTTAGGTTTTATTTTATTAGATGGCCTAAGAATCTTTTTCTGGAAAGTCTTGGGTGGTATATATATTTTTACAAAATTTATATGATTGCTTTTTTACTTGTGTTTGAATTTTGTATTCTCTACATTTTTCTTGTAAAATATTGAAAGTAAATACCATCCTAGGTTCTATCCCCATTCCTTTGGGTAAATTTTCATAACTACTGTGCCATTTATCATATATTTCTTTTCCTAATTCTCCTGGTAATTTTATTTAAAATCTATTAGCTATCTCTTCATCAAAAAATCTTCCAGCTCTTCCTGCATAAGCTATGTATAATTTTACAAATTTATCTATTTGAGTCCAATCTGCTATACTTAATTGTTCTAGATTTCTATAGGCAGAATCTTGAATATTTGTATTTTGCCTACTTGGATCAAATCCTAATATTAATGTCCTAATGAATTAAGTAAAATTATAAGGATTGACCCCTAATTGTCTTAATGATTTTATTTCTCCTACTTTTCTAATTTTAGCTTCATTAAATATATTAGCAGCTGTTTCTCCTGATAGTGTTTCTAAAAATGCAAACATATCTCCTACACCTCTTTTGTCACTATTTGGCCAAGCTCTTATAACATCAAATTCCCAAGTAGATATAACAGACTCCCACATTTGAGGATCATTAAGATTTATTGTCAAAATAGTTCCATTTCTATGGGCTGGGATTAAATTTATTTTCTCTATAGGCTCCATATTTCCTTTATAATTATAGCTATTATCTTCTTTATAGTCTCTTCTAGATGTTCCTTGCCTATATGGCCTTCCGGGTCCATTATCTTCTCCTAATGGTGGAACTGGATCAAATCTAGGCCTTTTACCTCTATCTGTAGTAGGATTAGATGGTCCTGCTATTATTTCTCCCATTTCCATATTCATTTTAATTTCCTCTTTTTCATATTTTGAGTCTATTTTCTTCCAATCAAAACTAGGATTAAACTTATTTTCATATGCTAATTCAAAATTATACCTTTCTTGTAATTTCAAATAAGATGTTTTCATACTGAATACATAATCTTGTAATTGCTCATATGCATTTATCAATTTAAAATTAATCTCTTCTATAATTAATTTGATCTTTTATCTTCTAACTCAGATTGTATGGATTCAAAATCATCTTCTGATTCTTTTCTAATTTGTCTATGCTAATAATCTAAAAATCTCATACTAAATGTTCCATCTTGATTTTCATAAGAAGTACTTTCGTTTGGTACTAATATAGACTTCTACAAATGTATTAATACTCCATTCAGTTCCTGTATATATTTCTGAACTAAATTTCTTTCCTGCTATTGGCTTAATTCCTTGACTTGCTAACATTAATTCTATTTCTTCATTATTTAGCTTAAATTTGACATTAGAATGTTCTTGTATTTTTCCTATAAATCTTGTAGTTATTCTAAGATTTAAAGATCCAGCAATCATATTATAACCTTTAGTCTTGATTCCTATTTTCAAATACTGTATACATTCTCTAGTATCCATAATAAAATTTGGTACAAAGTATATGATGACTCCATTATCATTCATATCTATTTCAAATGATCCAATTATAGATTTTGCTAAATCACTCCATCTATTATCCATTACTACTACCAAAGCTTTTGTTCCTAAATTTTTTCTATTTAATCCTTTAACTCCAATCATAATCAAGCCTATATGTAATTGCGTCATTTTTTGTTGCCTAATTTGTTCCCAATTATCTTTTACTATTATTGGTAAACTTAATTGATCTAAATCTGATACACAACTTACTTTTTGTTTGGCTATTGTTTGTATTATGGATAACTTGGATAATAAAGAATTTTCGTACATCTTATTTTTAATTTTAACTAAATCTAAGTTTTTATTATTAAATTTATCTAATTGTGATTCAATATCTACTATTTCAGATATCTTTCTATCAAACTTGGGTGATTTTTTCTTAAATATAGATATAGATTTTTCTCCTCCTACCATGATTTATAACTTATTGGTCTATATGGGATAATTTCTTTTCCTTTAGAAATAATATTTGTCTCTATAATTTTTAACTTATCTTCAATAGTTATTATTTTTTCATATAATTGTATTAATATTATTGTCTGAAAATTTAATATTTTAGGATAAATTTTATCACTTCCTTACATTCCTGAGTAATTTGTTAATCCTAATGCTTCATCATGATATTTTTTAGCTTCTTCTAAAGTATCTTTATAAATTTGAAATTCTTCAAACTTACTCATGCTAAAATAATTCCTTTAATTTCTAAAAGTAAAGATTCAACTCTTTTAATTTTTTCATTAGCTATATCTAACATATTTTTGGATTGTTTAGGTTCTTTTAATAAAGTTTCTATTTTAGAAATTATCATCTCTAAGTTTTTCTGATCTGTCCAAACTCTTTTTAATATATCATCATTTTGTCTCTTAATATATTCTAAGTTTTCTTTTAAAACTAATTTTTTTATATCACCTAAAATCTCTGTGAATTTTTCAATAATTCTATAAACTTTTTCTTGATGTATTTTTAAAGATTCAGCTAAAGATATTTGTGCTAAAGATATTTGTAAATCTATTAGCTAAAGATATTTGTAAATCTATTATACTATTCATTATTTTATTTTCAGAATGTAATTCATGTCTAAAATCTTTAGAAAACTTGCATATAAATTTATGATGATATGAAGAAATAATGTTTTTATTTTTATTTGATATCTCTAGATTTAACCATTCAATGTTTTGTTTAGATTCCATTTAAATTTAAAATTATTGATGAGAGTATTTATCTACAGTAAAATAATGCCTAAACCCACCACGCTTCCGCGTATATATATTAAATTTGGTTTCTTTAGCTTGTTTGCCTTTTTTTTTTATTTTTTTATTTTTTGATACAATGCAGTAAAGTTTCATTATGAAGGTACAATGACATTGTTCCATTACCAAAACATGCATAATTATACAAAGAAAAAAGAAAAAAAAATTTATAAACCCTGGGCGAATGCCTCTTAAGGTGGAGGACAACTTGAAGTGTTAATGATGCGATGCAATTAAACTAATTTGGTCATAGAAAAGGCAAACTTTTTTGGTAATTATAAGGAATCAAGTCAGGCTAAAAGAGCTAGATTGGAACAATTTTCTAGATTTTTCAGTCTCATATTCATTTATTGTTGAATTTCTTCTATTTTTTATCAGATTTTTCATATTTGATTGAAGAATCTTCTAACGGATAATTTTATAATTGAATTTATATACTTTGATATGATTAGATTTGATTTTATTATAAAGTGTCAGGCTACAAAAGAGCTATATCGGACCAATTCTATAGATTTTTCAATGCCATAATCATTATTGTTGAATTTCTTCTATTTATTATGGGATTTTTTCATACTTGATTGAAGAAACTTCTTCCGGTTTTATACTTGAATTTTAATACTTCAATATGATTAGATTTGATTTAATTATAAAGTGTCGAGTCAGGTTACCAAAGAGCTGTAATCTGACCAATTTTCTAGATTTTCCAGTCCCATATTCATAAGATTGAATTTCTTATAATTTATATTGGAGTTTTCATATTTGATTAAAGTATCTTCTTCTGGATAATTTAATACTTGAATTTATATACTTTTATATTATTAGATTTGATTTCATTTTATTATAAAATTTTATTTTATTTTATTTTTATTTTTTTAACCCTATTTTTACATCGACCTTCTCATGACACAGTTAGGAGAGTAGATGTTTTAGATCTGATGTATGTTAATGTGAAGGCAGACCTAAAAAAGGCTTGGGCATATTGTATAAAAAAATATCTTATTTTTTTTGTCCGAACAAAGATTCTCAAATACTGCGATTGTATATACAAAACCTTTCAGTGATGAATTTGGCCTCCAAAATCTCAATGCAAGTTTGCTCTAACTTTAATCACTTTCTGATGTGTTCTTGTTGCATGCAGGCTTGTGCAATCTTAAAGGCCACCGACGACCTCGGCACGGAGACATACTTCGTCGCAGCTCTCGCATGGCTTCTTCTCATGATTGTGTTGGGTTACTTCGTTCATGTGCTCGAAAATGTTATCGACACCGTATACATTTGCTACGCCATCGACAGGGATAAATCAGAAGTTTCCAGACAGCAAATTCATGAGGTTTTTGTTTTGCTTCCTCTTAGCAGAAATCACAGGCCATCGTTACACTCCAGAACTCCCTTCTTAGCCTGATTACATTATGTTTATTTATGTGTTTTTTGTATTAGTGTTTGAGATTAAACAGGTTTGTTAAGGTTATTGTAATCATAATTTAAGTTTTTAACCGCTGTATAATATGGTTGGTTTGTTCCTTCTGCATGTTGGGTAGAGGATTTGTAAAATGTAATTTTGATGCTTTTTTTTTTTTATTTTTCTGATGATGAATTATGTCCACATTCATTTATTTTTTTGGCACATTTGTAAAAAATTAGAGTAATTCTTTACAGGTTTCTGAAATTCACCCATTTTAACAAGTTCTAGGAAGATTTACTTACATAAATGTCGCACAATTCCTATTTATTTACATATCTGACACCTAAACTTTGATGCTTACATTAGTAGCACTTTATCTATGCATGAAAAAGTATAATTTAGTTCTAAAATGTTAAGAATAGTGGTATATTTGAACCCATGAGGAGAAATTATTCCGTACTGACATCGCATGATCTCCACCGTCGATAACCGCAATAAATTTTTTTTTTTTTTTTAAAGTTGAAAGTGGGGCCTATCAAAATTCGTCTTTGCGGTGATCAATAGTGGAGATCGGGCACCGCATGCATATCTGCATGAGGTGTCATTTTTCCAGCTTTGGGTTGATTAATTTGAAATCGACATGTTCGGTTCAATTGATTTTTGGTGTTAGATTAAATGGGCTTTTACATGCATACCATCCAATTCCTATGTATTTACATTTCTAACACCTATACTTTTCTGTTTTACATTAATACCACCCACTAATTTCATACCACATAAAAAATACCACTATTTTAACAAAAAAAAACGTAGATGTAATGTTGGCATGTTTCCAAAAAATGAAGTTTTGGCTCAAGTTGTGTAAATACATAGGAATTGATTGGTATGTATGTAAATCTTCCAAGATTGAAATTTGGATCCAGTTGAAGTTCACTTTGATTGTTTTATTGGGTTGGCTTTAAAGGTTGATTCTAAAGTGCTATTACAAGAAGAAAAGGTAAAATGGTAATTTTTATGCAATTTGAAAGATCTGGGTGTTATAAATGTAAAATTTAAAATTTTGGTATAAGATTATGTAAATACCATAGGAATAGTGTGGTATTTATGTAAATGCCCTTAAATTTTTTAATAAATTATAAAATAAATAATATCTTTTTGGAAAAGAACATTATGGGCCAGATCTGTGGCATCATATGAACAATGGTGTGGTTTTTGGCTTTTTTGCTCGTCTTTATCAGCTCACTGGTTCATTTGTCGGTCGACTATATATATATATATATATATATATATATTTTGCCACCACTTTTATATTTTTATATTTTGCTTTTATTGTAAATAAATGTTTGTTTAGGGCAATTTTTTATATTTTATTTTTATTATGAAAAAAAAATAATAATTTATTTTTTAAAATACCTCAAAACATATAAAAATTATATATTTTATTTGATGTAAAATAAAAACAAAATAAAATAAGAGTTAAGAGTAAAAAAAAAAAAAAAAAAGGGAAATAAAAGGGGCATTTCCATACATAGCACAAAATTCCTATCTATTTATATATCTAACATCTAAACCTTGATTTGTACAATAACACCAACCCAAGCTTTCCCTATCAATAAAAAATACCACCATTTCGACTTCTAAAATGTGACGTGCAAAGTGGTATGTATGTAAAAATTAAAGTTTAGGCGTCCAAAATAAAAATAAGAAGAAAAAAAGCGGTCCCAAAATGGCCCTTATGAAATATAACAGAATTGTTCGCTAAATATAAACTTTTAGTGTAATATATCACATAAATTTTGTTAAAAGTATATTGAAATGGGAAGAAAATGTATCATTAAAATATAACAAATTCTTATATAACAAAATTTGGGTGCTTTCTATGTTTTTTTTTGTATGATGGTGTTTAGGGCTGTCAATTTGGCTCGTTGTTCGTGAACAGCTCGTGTTCGGCTTCGTGAACAACTCTTGTTCGGCTCGTTCGTTAAGCCTAACGAGCAAACAAGAACAAATTTTTAAGCTCGAAATGTAACGGCTCGAAATGGCTTGCAAAAAAAAAAAAATTATATAACTTTTTATATAACAATATATTACATATATTATTTATATAATAATATATTATATATATTTGTCTAAGTTTAAATCATAACATCTCATGTGGCTATGTGGTTAGTGTCTTCTTTTGTATAGATTTGATCCAGGTCCGAATCCCACACTTTACATCTATTTTTCTCAATTTTAGTTTAACGAGTCAATTTCGAGCCGAACACGAACACACTATTCACGAGCCTATTTCGAACACGAGCCGATTTCGAACACGGGCTATTTCGAACGAGCCGAATACGAGCCAAGCCTGAGCTCGCTCAAGCTCGGCTCGTTTACAACCCTAATGGTGTTCGTGCAAAGTTATAAGAATGTTAGATTCTCGTACCTTATGACCATGAATTTTCTTGTACACAACAATTTGACATTATTGGAAAGGAACGACTCTTTGATGGTTTGGGTTGGGGTAATCTTCATAACAACTTGAGAGATCATTTGCATCAACTTTTTGGGCATGCCTATAATAGGGCATTCCCTAATCATTTTTTAAAGAAACAAATCATGACTAGGGAAAAAATTGACAACAACATCAAAAGGAAAATGTCTTATGCATGGTTGTAGTTAGAAAAACCATCTCTTCTATCATCCATTATTGTAGAAGTTACATGGAAAATAGATTTAGATTAGGGGGAAACTCTGGTTGTTGCTTTAAAATGATATTCATATTAACATCTTAGACATAGTCATAGTCGAGCAATCTCTTAATTCAATATTTTTGTATGCTTCTACTGCATTATTACTAGCAATAATCTTTTTAAGGTTTATTTCAAATAAATGAGTTTTTAAGATAATATTTCAAGTGAATCTCTAGTTGGATAAAGCTATAGTTATGGTCTAAAAAATAATGTAATGATCTAGATTTCAACACATTTGATTTAGGATACATATAGTATTTTTCCCCTTACAATCAAGGAATAATTTGTCATAATATAGAAATTCAATTTGATTTTTTTTTTTTTGGGTGGAGTTTAACATCATCAAGTCACATTATGACACATGACCTTGGATAGGTAAGAAAAAAATATTAGTGAGTTTTTCATGACTTCTTTCACATAGGTTAAGGGTTGTAAATGAATGAGCTGAGATGAGCAGGTCCTTGTTCATGCTCAAAGCTTAAAAGCCATTTAAAGCCCGACTTAACTTAATTTGAGCTTTTATAAATGTGCTCAAGCTTTAGTTTTTTTTTATCAAAAATCTGTTAGAGCTTGATTTCAGCTCAATTTATATAGTAATTATTGAAATGTTCAATAAGTAGCTCATTCAACAATATAAAAGAGTCATAATTGAGCTTTACTCAAAGTTTATACAAACAACTAATTTGAAAAATAAATAAGTTGTATCAAACAAAGATTGTTGAGCCTTGAAAACAACAAAAAATTAAATGATATTATGCATGAATGAGTTTTCATTGAGCTTCTTAATGAGTTTGTTTACAAGCTTTGAATGATACTATTTATGAACATAAATGAATTGAGCAACAAGTATTTAAGATCGTATTAAAGTTTATTTAATTACTTAATCAAATGATTATGAATAAGCTCTAATTGACTTCAACCATAAGTACCTGACCGAAAACTTGATTTATTTATAGCCACAAATAGGTTAAAGTTGTTGAGTAATATTTCGAAAAATAATCTCAAATCGCTAAAAATTATCAGATTGATTTTTCTCCACCCTTTTTATACATGTTATCATCGTCGAGTAACTAGCAAACAAGCTTAGATATGTCAAAAATTTAATGAATTTCTCTTGACCTCTTTTATTTATGTTAAAGTCATCCAATATAGATCATGTATATACATCAAATATGTAAAAAATTGTTAATGAATTTCTCTCAATATCTTTCATAAAGGTCAAAATTATCAAGTCATGTTGTCATAAACAATCTTAGGCATATAAAAACTTTGGTGGACTTATCTTGATCTGTTTCATATTAGTTTATATTACTAAGTAACTCTTTGACAACAAATAACCACAAATGGGTTTAAATTCTTAATGGATTTTTTAATCTCATTCATATAAGTTAACAACCTTGAGAAACTTTTTAATAAATAATCCTGAATAGGCAAAACAATTTTATGAATTTGTTAAGATAACTTTCACATAGATTAATCTAATTGAGCCACACTATGATAATCAAACTCAAATAAGTTAAAAATTATTGATGGATCACTTTCAACATCTTTCATACTGGTGAAAATCATCAAGTAACACCAGCAAAAAATTTTGATAGATTTTTTCAACTTGTATGTACACTAGTTAGTATACTCAAGTAGTGCTCTAATAAATACCCTTAAATAGATCAAATATGCTTAGTGGATTCCCTCGACCTCTTGCCTATAATTTATGTCTTTGAGTAATTCTTTAACAAATAATAATGGATTGGTAAAGGATCTTTGAAAGATTAATTTTAATATTTTTCACTATGTGTCACGATTTGGAGTGTTATCTGACATCAACACCCCATAAAAGATAAAATTTTATAAAAGAATCATTTATGACCACCTTAGCATAGGAAAAGAGCTTAGCTACAATTCTAACATCAACACACCCCATCATTATCATGGCAAAAAGTTCCAATCATAGTTACATAAAAAGGAAGAAGAAGGCAAGATATATACATATGCTTATTTCATATCCACACTAAAACAATGTGTGCAATATTGGATCTATAAGGTGTTAGTATATTATTCATCATTATGGATGAGGTTCTTCTTTGTTTTCTTGCTCTCTTCATCATCTTCAACACCTAAGGAGGAGCTTTCAGATGTTTGGCCAAAACATATTGGATAATGACACCAAATAAGTGATGCACTAATCAACTACTCTTCAAGAAGTGAAAAACAAAACCTTCTTTAAAATATTGGTACTTTGGGTCATTAACTTTGATTAAACAATTATATAATAATGATTTATTATAATCCACTATGGTCATCAAACATTTCCCTACCTTTAGCTTCTAGGATGATAGTTTCTTTCACATGAAGACTTGTCCGGGCTTCAGAGATATTACTCTAAACACAACCCTAACTTTTGATTGGGTATGAACAACCTCTTAAGGTTGTTACAACGATTAGCTCAATTTAATACCCTATTTATTT